CCCACTCTAAGTGTATGCATATGTGGGTACTAAACAGGTTGAAGCAAACGTGTACATCGTGGATGAGTGGGAAGGGGGTCTTGACTCCTTTTTCATCAGGTTGACTCTCTTCCTATTCTCTCTCCCTCCCTTCTCCTAGCCTCCCCCCTCCCTACTCCCACCCCTAGTTTTCTGACCAAGAGCAGGGCTTACTTTGTGCAATGGCCATGACACCAGAGAGGGGGGTCATGATGAGGTTTTGCGATTGCTGGGGATTGTGGTGGGAAAGGCTGTGGATATTCGTCAAGGTGCTGACAGGGGGCAGACCTCCTCCTGAGACTGAGATCTGCTGGAGAGAAAACACAGGCACAGCATGAGTGGCATTGAAACCGTAAAATGCAATGTCCAAAATGAAATGACTTAGCAATTCCTTGACATGACCAATTCACTTATTCATTCATTCATCATTCATTCATTCACTGAACAGCAATTATTAAGCACCTATTGTATGGAACAGCACTGGTTTAGGTGTTGAGGATAAAACAGTAAGTAACATAGCCAGTGACACCTGCCCTCATGGTTAACTGTCATTGGTTTACTAACCTAACTCAGAGATTCTTCTGCCCACATATATATTAACTGGATGTATCTTTTACTCTGCTCTAAGTCTCCTACATTATTGGTGCAGTGCTAAAGACAGATGCCTGCTCAAAATAGCAACCGAAGAAGTACTCTGGGTTTCCCTAATGAGAGCGGATTAGGGACCAGGCCGGAGTGCAGGGACATGCTTACCGACTCCAGGCTCCACTCAGCACTGCTCACATATTAACTCACAAGCTTTGCTATATTCCCTGGAGGTGGATACTTTTGCCATTGCCATTTCACTGATGAGAAAATGGAGACTCACAATAGGCATGTACATTGACTGAAATAGTAAATGGTACCTTTGGTATTCAAGCCCACTTTTGTCTGACTCTAAAACTCAAGTTCTTTTTTATGGAGGACTTCCCCCGAACTGTTCAGAAGTTGGGAGAGATCAGCTATGATTGGACTCTTCTACTTTTTCCAAATCTCCACTATCATTAAATTTTTTTTTTTCCAAGGAGCTGATGCTATAATGATGAAGTTGCTAAACAAAGTCTTGGACTCTAGGTACCCACACCCATTTTATTTGACCATATTTTAATAATAGATGAATAAGAGAAAGCTACCAAGTTTTATGTATTTAGTTTATGGTTACTTTGAATCCTGTTATTGAGAATTGAACCCTTTTATTTATTCCTAATAGTGTGTCTTCCTTGTTGATTTTCTCCATTTTCCCAAGTGCATAATGGCAGGTTATGTTAATAGGACCCTTTCCTTGCTGCTACTAATATATGTCTACATACCATTTTGTATTGGTCAGTACCTTCTGGTTAGCATTAAACAATAACAGCTGTAATAGATGGGCTTGCCTTGATTTCAATGTTATCAGAAAAGCATTCAATGTTTCCCCAGATATAAGGGAGTGATCAGTTTTCACACACTCATTTTTTTTCATGTTCACCGACTATAACTTAATTTTTTTTTTTAATTATTAGGAAAGGACATCTCCCTTCACTACAAGCTAATCCAGATAGTCTTGGTGGCATCAGGAACACTGAGAGCTGGTTTAGGGTTAGGACGCATACAGAGATGTCTGAGTTGCCCAGTTTCCCTCCTCTATCTCTCATGACCAAGAGTACCTCAGATTGTTGGTCTCACACTAGCTCCCCTCCTGCCCTTCTGGTCAACCCCATAGCTTGCAAGGTTAAATTGAAAAAGAAAGAAAAAAAAAAAACCAAACAGGTTTGTTTGTGTTTTTAAAATGAGCATCAAGAAATGACTGAGGGATCATGTGACCACGAAGGAATTCTGACCACATCAAACAAGAGAGAACCAGCCTGTTTGCTGGACTTGTTTTTCAAAATGTCAGAGTCATAAAAAAAAAAAAAAAATCAGTAACCTGCCTTTGGACTGAATCCCTTGGGTAATGTAGTCCTTTGGAGTAAGTCAGTGAAGTGACAGTAATCTCTGCTATCTCAGTGTTAGGCTTTGAAGGTGAATAAGAAACAATACGAATGCCAATGAAAAAACAGTTCCAACGTGTATGACTTGAGGATGTAAATTACTTTCACCATTGTCCTCAGCAGATAAGGACACATACAGGGAAGGGATTATTATTATTGTCCTTATGTCACAGATTAAGAAACGGGTCCTCAGAAGAGTTAAAGAGCTAGCTCTGCGTCACCTGACTAGCATGAGAAGAGGCAGAATTCAACCCAGTTTTGCTGGATTTTAAATCCCATCCATTTATTCTGTTTGGGTAATCTTGGCCAAGTTCCTTTCTGCTCTAAAATGCAACCATTATCGTCTTTTTGTCTCTAGAAGTAATAGAAGCCAGGGAGTTGCCAAGGATGTCAGGCAAGAGCCTCACATAATAATTTGGAGAGTTTGCATTATGTCAATTCTGTCATTTGCAGTTCTTTTCATCAAAGTAAGTGATTTATGTGCCTAGGTCTGTTAGGTCATATTGCTCTGCTATTATGAAGGTATCCAGTATGTGCTTTTACAAAAACAAAGGAAAAACAAGGTCCAACACACACAACCCTAAACTTGACCAGTTCTTTGCCGACGTGTGCTATTTGGGCAGAGGGTGAGGGATGGATAGTGCAACAGAAAAGTCAAGTGAATCAGCATTACTTATAAACCAGGGGAGATTTCAAATGCATGACCTACTGAAAGTCAGCACACAGACAGTATCATTCCAAGTAGAGGGCTTTGCCAAAGAGCAGCAGAGCTATCGGCGACACTCCCACCAACCCTATGACAGAGGCATCACTATCCCCCACTTTATATTGAGGAAACTAAACTTAAATAATGTCCATCCTACTACTGATAAATAATAGAGGCAGGATTTGGACACACTGATTCCCTTGCCTGCATTATTTTTAGCCATATTCTATTCTCGCCTTGGTGGACCAAGATCTGTGATGGACTTGTTATATATTAACAGAAAACAGACTCTTGAATTTGGGCATCCAGTTTTAGTGACATAACATATGAGCCAGGGTGTTGGAAACTGGTGAAAACCTGGTCCCTGCAAACAAGCTTCCAGGTGTTTGCTTACGTTGAGGTATACTGTCTTGGTCAATCATCAATCCAATGATATACTGCCCATTAGGGCATGGCTGAGCAGAACAGGAAGGAAGAGCGTGTCTTCATGTTGCCTTTGAGCAGCCTGGGTGAGGGTGCTTTTGCCTCTTAGGAAGAGGGCGGGCTCTTCAAGGGAAGGCCTAAGGACCTTCAGGCAACAGGAGCAGAGACTTGGAAGGTTTCATTCACATCAAGAAGTCACGATGTCTGCCAGAAGGCCCCCTTCTCCAGGAAGTCTGGGCAATTCTTTCCCCTACCTTGCCTGGGTCTCAAAATGCCTTTGGAGACTTGTCTGTGTCTCTCACAAGGTAACTAAGACAAATAGTTCTGCACAAAGAAGTTTAAGGGGTGAGAGGAAGGTAAGGGGGCTTCCAAGTGACTCCCACGGGAGTGCGTTCCATTGTCGTTTCTAGTAACCACCACCAGGAAGAGTAGCTCCAGTCTCTAGACACTAGAGGTGGCGGGCCAGCTCTCCCTTCAGAAACCACACTTTGTTTTTCCTCCAGGGAGTTGGGGATTCAATCACCTGTGACTCGCCATTCCTGTGTTGCCTACACAACACACATATCAAGGTCTAAAATGGCATCTGCTTCCTGTCTCCTGCCCCCACCCAGGGCCCCTACCTGCCCTCATGTCAGACACCTTGAGGGACTGTGTGCAGCTCTACACTGAACGTGGAAGCCGGGAACCTGCAGCTCCTCCCTCCCCGGAAACAAAGCATGACCCAAAGAATAAAGTTTTCCATTCCCTACCCTCCCTAGTGTTGTAATGCTTGTGCTCTGTCATAAGCGCTCTCTAGGGACTAGAACCTTGAACTTCAAATTCAAATAGCCTATTCTTCACCAAGTATGCTAACCTTACATCTGGGTGTGGGCTGTGGGGATGCATAGGGAAATTTCACTTAAAGAGAATAACACTGATATAAACATAACAACCACCCCAGTGTCATTTACTGAATATTGTTGGAGCACTGTGCTGAGTATTTCATGTGCTATCACATTTGTTCCCCCAACAACCCTCTGGTTATTACCTCCATTTTATAGACAAGAGAGACCTAGAGAAGTTCAGTAACCTGCCCAAGGCTACAGTCATTAAGCATGAAAACTGGGATTTGAACCCCAGTCTTTACAACTTCAAAGTCGGTGTCTCTTACTCAGCTCGTAGGCTTGGCCCCACCCTACCTGCTGCAATCTTCACCCGCATGCCAGCCAGTGTCCTTCAAATCCCCAAGTCAAGAAGCCTCTCCCCACCACCACCTGCCGTCAGCTAAATCCTGACTGAATGACTCTCCTTGTCAGAACCAAGGGGGTGGTAAAGAGAAAGAGGAGGTTTGTTTCAAAGTGAGGAGCTTTCTGGGTTAAAAAACTGGCTTTGGAGGCCTTGGGATGGGGGGAATAAACATTTTATCAACACAGATGTCATTGGCAGCCCCAAAACAAATAGTGTCCCACCCGCTTGCTCCTTTATGAGGCATTCAATCAATAAAATGAGAGCAGAGCTCTGTCAGATTTATTGGCTGGGTTCAAACTGAACACCTCTTCCTCCCGCCAAAGGCTGGGTTACCCGTTCTCGCTTCCAACTCTGGACAGCCCCCATTTTCCCCCCCGTGGGGTTACAATGGTTCATTGTTTGAGGCAGGCCTTGTGAGAAGTTGTGTTTGTTTTGCCTCTTATCTTATCAGCTCCAGAGCTACAATGGCCCAGGTGTACTCACCATTTTACCATCAGGTGAGAGGAGATTGTGGCCCGGGTCCAGGCTGGCTGGAGAGACTTGCTGTAAAACGGACTGGCTGGTCACCATGGCGCTGTTGCCGTGGTGACTGATTGTTGAGGAGGAAGTGACTTCATTGTTTCCCTGCTGGTTGTAGCGCACTCCTGCAAAACAAGGCGGACCCAATAGGGAACATTAATGTCACCAGGGTCCATGAATACTAACTCAGCTCCCCATTTTTTTAAGGATGAATGATAAAAAGACAAAGTTGCCTTCTCCTCCTGGCTAGCCATGAGAAATATCAGCTTTCTCTAGGGGACGATGGCATGACCTCTATTTGAATTCTGGAATGTAAACTCCAAGAGGGCAAGACATTTTTATCCATTTTGTTTTGTTCACTGCTGTGTCCCAGCACCTTCGCATTTCATAGCCACTCAACACATCTTTGTCAATGAATGTATTTGGCTGATTGTTGCTTCAGCATTGTCTTTTCAGGATTTAGGGTCTTCTCTTTCTGGCTGGAATATTTTATTGTAAAAATGCCTTCTAGAAATGTTTCCCTGGCATCTCTTGGCTTTTATGAGTTGATCCATTTTACAAAGAGGTCTTGTCAGTGACCCTTGTTAAGAACATAGCAAAATGCATCTGTCTCCATGCACCACCATCTTGGCTGAGCCCAAGAGGCCCGGGGGCCACAGACAGAAAGGACAGAGATGGGGCTGCAGCTGGGAGGCTTTGACTCTGGAACGCACATTCTCCCATTTGGTTTCTAGGGCATAGGGGAGGACGCATCTGCTGGGAGATGGGGCAGATAGCACACACAGGCAGGATATGGATGCTCAGTAAGTCACTGCAGTTTGGTCTGCAAGGGACGGGAGAACCAAGCATGTTTAAGCCTCACTGCTCTGACCTTCCCTTTTGCTTAGGAACCAAAATGGAGGTGTCTGCTCAGCAGAGGGTAAGTGTTGGGCAGAGGTCAGGTAACTGAAGGAAGCTCAAGGAAGATGAAGACTCTGAGCCCAGTTTGCAGAGGCCAAGTCCTGCCTGGTGTGCTCATGAGCTAGTGAAGGACAAGGTTGGGGGTAGCTGGGGTGCCTCACCCAAAGATCAAAGCTAAGAAAGACAGTGTTCTTGGTTTTTGCTTTGGAAGTGACAAAAAGATTTGGGGACCTTATTACTACAACGGGAAGGAGACCAAGTGCCTTACGCACAGGATCATCTGAGGACGTGGGCCAACTATGCGAGTGCCCTTCTCCTTTTGCCAGTTTCCCAAGATGAACATGACTCTACCATGGATTTGTTTCCCTCTGCCCTGCCTTCTGCCTCAACCAGAGTCCCACCTTCCTGTAGGGCAGCCAGGGCCCCCCCAGGGCCAGCTAGGCAGCCTCCAATTGACCAAGACCAAGCTCGCTGAGAGGAGAGTTTTCCTTGGATTCTCTGAAGGACATTACCCAAAGCTGATATGACCTAGAGCTTAAGAGGACTGTGGCGAAAACAAACAAATGCGAAAGCAGGGTTCTAATCTTTAAGAGCAACTTGTCTGAAGTGGTTGGATGCACCCCAAACTGACACCCCCTTACTAGACCTTTTGCACACCTGCAGCCCCCTGACTCTCCCGCTTACCACGCTCAACTTTGTACCTTTTGGCTAAATTAGGTGTTTTTTATTTCCCGCTTAAGTTTGTCACTGGGTTCACAGCAGGACCCATCCAACAGCCTTGCAGAGTTTTTACAGAGGAGAAAGAGATCTGAAATAGTGTGTTCTGAAGGCAGACCTGAGTCCAAGTGGAAAAGACAGAGGCAAATTTCAAATCAGGTAAAGGACTTTTCTAACAAAGAGGGGCAGCTGGAAGATTATGGGCTCTGGAGCTAGACAAACTCAGATTCAAATCCTAACTTTGCTTTTAATGGATGTGTGACCTTGGGAAAATTACTCTCATGCTGTCCCTTAGTTCTCTCTCAAAATACAAAGAGAATTCTTCCTTAACAAGGCTGTTTTGGGATTTGAGATAACATCTATGAGGCTTATAGCATTATGCCAAATAAATGGCAACTACGGAAAAGGAGGGAACCATGTAGGGATGCACCCCAAATATTTGCCCTAAAATTCAAATTCTAGACAATTGAGGGTAGATTCTAAGTACTGAATGAAATTAACTTTCTGTGGAAAATAGTTTCCAAAGAATCCTACTCTGACAGAAACAGCGATACTTTGCTTTGGAAGCAACCTGGAGTTGGGGGAGTGGGGGTGCTAGCCCCGGCCCTCTTATTCTTTCCTTTAGGAGGAACTGGACTTCACCCTGTTTTCCTCCTGCTTTCTCTGACTCTCTGATCAGCTATTTACCTCCCCAAGATGCTCTGCTCCTGAGAGAGTGGTGATAATGCTGGGAGTCAGGTATGTTTTCACTCCCAGCCTGTCCCCATCATCGATTTAGTCTCAAGTCAAACAGACTCTGGTTTTAGCCTATTTAATTTGGCTGCAGGTAGAGGGCCAGCCCTCTGGTGATCAAATATGGGTCATGGGGAGCCTTCTCCCCTGCCACAGGCCACATAATTATTTATTTTAAAATAATTAACCAAGGATATCCTCAGGAAACAAAAGCCTTCTTTACATGGCAGCCTGGAAGGAGAGAGCCAAGAGTCATTTGTTAGGGTACAGGCAGCATAGCCCAAGGCTGCCATGGATTTCAAACCTTGTTTTCCCCTGTGCAGAATGTCACTATATGAGAAACAGAATGTGGAACTGCTCTTTTTAAAGACAGCTGGACCTAGAGCTCTTGCCACACTCCTAAAAATCCTTTGAGTAAGGGGGGGTGGGTACCATAGTGCCTGGGAATGAGAGGATCGCTGTTTTGATCTTAGCTCTGCTATTCACATATTGGGTGAGCTCCAGCTTCCTCCTCTCTAAGCCAGACTCCCTGCCATGGGGAGGGGTGATTATTGCTGCAGAGTGTGGTGGGAGCTGGGCATGAGGCCACTCATCGGCCCCAGATTCACCTGTAGCCTTTCCTGCTGATGCTCCTCTCACCAGGAACTTGGCAATCACTCTGGACCCTGTGGCTGCAATCAGCCAGCTGCCTTAAAAGGGGATGTGGAGGTGAAGGGTATATCACAAGGTACCTGCTGGCAATACACCGGAAATAGGAGTTCTTGATAGAGGAAGGTGAGGCCGGGTCCTTGTGTATTTCACAAACTCAGAAGAGCGCTTGAAATGAGAGCGAAAGTAAAGTAGGCTCTGGAGCCAGGCAACCTGAGTTTAAATCTAGCTCTACCAGGACTAGCTATGTGACCTTGGGGAAGTTACTTAAGCTCCCTGAGCCTCAGTTTCTTTATTGCTAACAATATATACCCTTAGGTCATTGAAAAAGACTGGGAGGGAGTCTGGCCCCTGCCCTCTTATTCTTTTCTTCAGGAGGAACTGAGTTAATAATCAGTGTGAAAGGACCCACAGTGTGAAAGGACCCACATCAACTGACACATGACAGTTGATCAGGATACATCAGTTTTTGCAGCATTGGGATTGACTTTGTCTAAAAGACATTTTTAGGAAAGCTGAGTTCACAAAACTTTATGAGGACCTATCATGTGCCAGGCACTGTGCTAGAGACCTGGGTTAAGAATTTCACAAGATTCAAAAATGAATATATAACAAGGGCTCTGATTTAACACTGGTTAAATATATCAGGTTAACAGGTGCAGAAGAAATGACAGGTCCCGTAGAACAAAGGACAATGCCAGACAGTGGCCATGCACCTCCACTCCCTTCCTGGCTCAAGTCATTAATTGGCCATACCCCCATCATGACCCTATAAACCACAGCGAGTGTGTCCAACAGTGAAAAGGATCCCAGTTGGAATCTGAAAACACCTCCCAGGTGCTGGTGAGGTGGTTGTATACTTTTACCTGTTCCCAGACCTAAGCATCATGGATGGTGAGCTATTTCCCAGTTCTCAAAAGCACAGGGACAGAGGCAAATTAATTTGGTTTCTACCTAATATGACAGGTCAAAAGTATCAAAATACAAAAGCAGTTTATGGCTCCAGGAAGCCAGCAACTCCATACCCTGCTTCCCAGTATCACTACCATGTCAGGGCACCCTTCCTACGGCAGCTTGGGATTTCTTTCTAAAACAAAATCACACATGTCACTGCCTTGTCTGGAAATCTATGATGACTCTTCACTACCTTCTGATAGCAAATCCTGATCCCTAACTCTGGCCAGTGACATCATACCTTGGTGAATCCAGCCTGCCTCTTGGGCAGAATCTTCCCACATCCCACCCTCCAGCCATGTCGGAGCATTGCTGGTCCTCATACCTCACCCTCTGCCATCTCCTGCCTCTTTGCCTTTGCTTGTACTGTTCCAAACTCTGCCTGGAATGCTCTTCCATGTCACAATCTTTCAGAGGCTAAATGTCACCTCTTCTGTGAAGCTCTCCTTGACTTATCCTGGTAGTTATCTGTTCCATCTTTTGTAATGTACATGCAGTAGAAAGGTTGAGAGGTTCTTGGAAACTGTGACTTTAAGTAACATGAAGCCAATTTACCATAGGCCACTTGATATAAACAAGAGTTAAGTTCTGAAACAGCATAGTTTTGGTCACAAACCATCACCAAACTTTTAAATTAAGACCCCAAACGTGTCTAATGCTAACCAATCCTGTGTAGGCATCCATTAATTAATTGTTCCAGTTCAGAACAAATGGTGGCCTCTCCAGGCAGCTCAGGGTACCAGGTGGGAATTCATCCTGGACAGGATGTTCTTCTAAAGCAGGGTGCCACCCGCGCACACCCACTCTCACTTAGATGGAGACTTTTAGACACCCTAATGAACCTAATGTGCCCATCTTTGGAGAAAACTGGAGTCCTTAGAGAAAACCCACGCAGAATGGGGAGAACATGCAACTCCACACAGACAGCAGCGCAGGCAGAATTGACTTTTCTTTTCTCATCAGTGTTATACAGAATGACATTGAGTGAAATGATGTTATTTGAGAACCTGCCATACCAAAATGCTTGCTGATATGTTTATTTCTCTCCATCTAAAGATAGGAGTGACTTTTACCTAATTGTTTCAACCTCAGAGCCTAGCAGAGTGCCTGGAACTGTGAATATTTACAGAATAGTGATAAGCCCTCTGTGGCTTTGAGTGTCCATGTCCCAGGACAAGGGAAGACCATTTTTGGCAGAAGGAAAAAATACAGTTAATTCTGTGGTAATACTTGTATTAACAATAGAAATCTGTTCTAATTCTATGGACATATTTTTTTTTTATTATTTATTTGTTTGTTTTTGTTTATACATGCACTGGGTACAGTCAGAAGCGCGGGAGGGTGAGAGAATTCACCAGAGCCAGAGTGGGGAGCAGAGCAGGCAGAAGGACCGAAGTACACTGCTGAGGGGAGCAGCGGGCGGCAGGAGAGGTCTGCGCGCCATGTGGGACCCTCCTCCAGTGGCCGGGGAGCAGCCGGGGATCGAACCGGCGCTGCAGAGGCCGCGGGCAGCTTCGCAACCCAGCGCTCAACCGCTGCGCCACCGGGGAGGCCCTCTATGGACATATTAAGGAATAATTTGAGCGCAATATGAATTTCACATTTCAGAAACATAACATGAATTCATAAATCTGCATCCAGTTAGGAATATGCTAAACACGCTGGTATGTACGTGTAGTGCGCGCACGCGCGCACACACACACACCAGCTATCTCAGTTCACTGTGTGTGCTATAAACCACATTTGTGCACATATGGACTTACAACTTTCCGTCCTTATTCAGATAACCACCCGTCCACCACTTCACAGTAATTCCCAAGCTGCAACTCTTCTGTTGTCCAAATCTATAGTTGAACTTCAAGACTTTTTGTACTATATTTATCATTATACAGTATTTATATATTTCCTAGCCATCTAACAGATGTAAAGCTTTGCTGTATATATTATTAGGTTCTTAGCTTTCAAAAATGTACCACTGAGAAGTTCTTGAAAACTACAGCTCCCAGGGGCCTGCGTATATCTAGCCCAGCTTGCAAAGAATTTCAAGAAACAGCTGAGACCCTAATTCTACAATTCCAGAGATCAACAGGGCACCAGCATCTGGACACTTCCCACCAATACTCTCTGTCTGTCTTGACTCTGATGATTCTGGACCAATTTTTGAGCCTTGGCATTTTTTTTTTTTTTAAAAATATTTATATAAGAACTGGGATACAGGCCAGATATGCAGGAGGATGAGAGGATTCACCAGAGACAGAGCGGGGAACAGAAAAGGCAGGCTGACTGAAGAAATACACTACTGAGGGGAGCAGCGGGTGAGACAGGAGAGGTCTGCCGCACCATGTGGGTTGGCTCTATGGCTGGCGGGGATCAAACTAGCACTGCAGAGGCTGTGGACAGCTTCACAGCGCTGTGCTCAACCACCTGCACCACCAGGAAGGCCCCTGAGCCTTTGCATTTTTATCTGTAAAATGGGCATACAAATCTCCCTTCCTCAGAAGCCAGAATAATGAATGTTAGAGAAGCACAGGTTTTTCCTGGGAGAGAAAATGCTGGAGAAACAGATGAACAATGTCTGCCTGGAAGGCGTGCCCGGAATCACTCTTAGTAAGAACAGAAAAGGGAGTAGGGGCCTCCTGGGCAAGCTTGCCTCCCCATGGCCTTTGACACTTAAGCCTGGGGGTTCCTTTCACCGGGGGCTGTGAGCTGCCCCCAGAATCTGGTGGGATGCCTTTCACCCTTGACATTTCAAAGCCAATCTCCCATCCCTGATAATGCAGGAATGTTCTTCTGGCTGGTGGACTTCTGCCAGCAGGAGTGAGTGTCCCCGCCACCAACAGAGTAAACATTACTCAACCAGCCAGGGCTCTGTCACACACATTCTTCCCCTGTGTTCCTAACCTCATGCAGAGCTCAGCCCAACCCTGTTGAGTCTGGAAACTGGGAATTTAAACTCAGACAGGAGGGAGCGTGCGAAGGAGAAAGCTCTTCCAAAAGGAAACAACCCTGCCATCAATTATGGGTTGACAGAACTGCCTTTCCAATGAAGCCAAAATACGGGGTTGGGAGGAGACTGGGAGGAATTAGGCCAGTCTTGATGTGCCCATACTGCTCCCCGAGAAATTCATTCCCCCTTTTCCCAAAGAGTTGTTACTTTCTTAAGAGGCAGAGACATAAATGGTTCTGTCTGGGGAGCCTCTGAGACCTTCATCTGGGATAAAAGAATATGAACAATTTCCCCAGCTTGAAATTGGGAAGTCCAGAAATGAGAGCTATCAAATGAGTGAGCACGGCTGCTAGGTGTCCTTGCTGGTAATGCAGGAATACTTATTAATATTGCCTTCTGTCTGGGGATAAAGATTAATGTTTGCAAAGAGTTTTGATTAAAAATCTGAAAGCCTGGGAGGGAAAAGCTGGTGCAAGATGAAAGCAATTTAAACATGGGGCTGCTTTCAATTCCAGATCCTTTCTACCTAAACTGGCTTAGTTGGGAGCTCAATTCATAAGAGGAGAAACACAGACAGGCCTGCAGGGACGGTAAACATTCTTGAACTCAAGGAGTAAAAGTGGAGTGATACTTAAGGGAAGCCCACAAACTGGTTTTCTTTAAAAATCAAAGCAAATGTAGCCAAGAAAAGGGAAAAAGTCTTCTCTCAAAATCATCTCAACTGAGAACAGAAGCTAAAGTGAATGGTGTACCTGAGAAAACTGCACATATTGGGAGGTAGAAAGGTAACAGAAACTCCACTGTCCTCCCACCAGACCCACCGCAGCCACCAGGCCGGGTCCTTACCGGAGAGCCAGCGTCAGCAGGCACATATGTGTGGTCTGGTCTGAACGCTTCAGCCTGGTGGCGACTGCAGCAGCTGAATGAAATCAGGCTGGGGCTAGAGAACGTGAGTCCTCACACGTGTGAGTATTTTACACTATTTGCTTCTCTCTGTTACAGACACTCATTTGACAGAACAGAAAGCTGAGGTTCAAAGAGGAGGAGGTGATTTTCATGACCTCTTGCTAAGGGTCTCCCAGCAGGTCAGTGGTATTTTGAAACTGACTTTTCTCCCTCTTTCCCATAAACCCCAGGTGCACCCCAGATAGGCTGACCCTCTCATGGGGACCCACTAATATTTTGAAGTGACTTTGCTCTCTTGCTGATTTCTTGGTTGCATCTTTCCCAAAAATGTAAGCCGAGTGAGGGCAGGACCTTATGTGTTCTCAGCATCTTGCAGAGAGCTAACCCATGCTAAGTGCTCAATAAATATTTGTTGAGTGATTCAATGATGAATGACCTATACTGCAACTCTATGAAGGGCTCTATCCCCCTTTCACCCTTAGTCTGCTGAGTGGTGGGGAAGTGACAGTGATGAGCATTTATCCACTAAATCTCCTGGTTTCTCAGAGGTAAGAAGATTAGGAGGAAGAAGAGGGAATAAGAGAGGAGAGGGAAGAGATTAAAATATAACTAAATGAAGAGAGTACTGACAGATTTAGGCAATTTCATATTTGAAAGCAAGAGGTGAGTGCCCTGAGGAGTAAGGAGGATGCAGTGGGTACTTCCTCTTCACACCTGAGATCTTGGACAGTGTGTTTTTAGAGCAAAATGGCCAATGGAATGTCTGTGCGGAGCCTACCTGTTCCCTACTTCCATAGGCCTATGCATAAACCCCATTACCTAGGGTGCTTTAAGGTGGGAAGGGGGTGGGGGTGCTTCCATTAGTACAGGCTCTTTCTAAAGGTTTGGCATTGCAGGTGGGAATGCCAAGTTTAGACTTAGCCATTTTGAGCACATTGGGTCGATTTTGGAGTAAGGAGGCACAATGAATGGGACTTACTGTGGCAACATGAGTAACATATGCTTTTTTTCCTCCAAAGAAAACTAGGGGGAAACTAAGAAGGGTTAAAGGTGGCCATCGTTAGGCCTGAAGGCTGTGGAGACAGACAGAGCCCCGCTGCAGTCTGGCTCCTGGGGTCTCTTTTTGAGAGGCTGACTTTGCGGGGAGGGTAATACGGCTGTAACAAAGGCCCCTAGGCTTGGCAGACGCAGAGAATGATGATGCTCCTAGTGGGCCCGGGCAATGGGAAGGCTATAAAGTCATCAGCAGACGGAGTCACTGGGTGTCCACACAAAAGTAAGGTCCTATAAACAGACATCTGTATTGTGACTGAAGGGCTAATAAAATTGCCTTGGAAAAGAAAGGTTTTTCACTGCATCCTATTCATAAGCAGGACCCTACAGGGGAGTGCTACCCAGGGAGAAGATCCTTTGAGATCTGGCAAGTGTCAGAACTGCCTCATTATGGGAGTTTGCCTGGCCAGACCCCGGCCTCTTCGTCACCATTCTGCAGGCAGCTCATTATCATCATCACCATCATCACCATAAGCATGACAGATAGCTGCTGATCCCCAACAGGCTCGAGGACACTGGGCCTAGGCAGTAGCAGGTGTTGGGGCACTGGGACCCTGGAATGTGGCGGTTACTGACTTCCACTGATGGGAGCCCTGGCCAAGTGCTCAGGGTACATCCCTGGAGAAGTGGTTGCCCAGAGCTGATCTGTAGTAAATCTAACCCCTTTTCTAGATCTCAGTTTGCTCCATTGAAATTAAGGAAGAGGTGGGGGCCTCCCTGGTGGCCTAGGGGTTAAGTCTCAGCGCTATCACAGGGTTATGGCCTGAGTTTGATCCTCGGCCAGGCAACCAAGCCACATATGGAGCAGCAGACCTCTCCTGTCTCGCCCGCTGCTCCCCTCAGCAGTATATATCAGTCAATCCTTCTGCTCTGCTCCCCACTCTGTCTCTGAATCCTCTCACCCCCACACCTCTGGCCTACACCACATTTTTTTTATAAATAAGTATATAAATAAAAAGAAATTAAGGAAGAGTAACTAAACTAGTAGATTGAACTAAACTCTATAGCAGAATGTTAGGGAAAAGGAATAATATGTTCTTTGAAAACTTCCTGGTAGTATTTCATGTTGAGGTTGTGTGTGTATGTGTGCATGTATGCATACAAGTATACCTTAGTTAATCAGTATTAATGGAAGTGGAACTGAATGACATTGTTTCTAGAAAAGGGAAACATGCTTGAACTAATGTACATATGTTATGTAGAATGAAGCTAATTCAATGTTCAGTTTAACTCTAGTTGAGTAACAGGGGATTCATACAGGAAGCTCTTGGGCAGGAGGCCCTCTACAGTAGATGATATCTTCAACCACAACTATCTGGAGTACTTACTATGTGTTCAAACCAGGGCTGTGGACTGAAGACACAGTGAGGAAGGAAGACATCTTGAGCTCAGATGTCAGTACAACCCACAATTCTACTACTCGGAAAATATACATAGTGAGCAAGACTTGTAAGAGACTCTGGGGACTACATTCTTCATGGTGAGAACAAAACATCCTTGATCCATTTCTTTTTCTTTGACAGGTAGTGAGGCAACCCCTTCACCTGGCTGTAGGGTTCTCAAGAAGAAAGGCAAGCCTCATTTCAGTATCCATCTATAAAAGGGAACGGAGCACCTATTTTGTGCCTATTGTGTAAGCTGATGTTACACAAATGGGAGACGCTGTTTGGAGGTTTTCCACCCTTGCCAAACAAGAGCTCATGGGGCTTCATTGCTAAGCCAGTCCAACAGGTGCCCACCAGGAAGAAGCACCCTGCTGTGGGGAGGGCAGGAGCTGAGGGCAGGCATTCTGCCACTCAAAGGCCCTGAAAGTGTTAACCTCCAGCAGTTATAGGTGTCTCCTTTATACCCATTATAAATCTGTTTATTGTGACTGGTCCCACCCAATCTGCTGATGTTGTAAATCTCTAACGGTCCCTAATAAAGGTGGAAGCCTTCTAACAACACACAGTTCCTGAAACAGAGTGAAGGAGAGAGGGAGTGAGGAACACAGGAAGGAGTGAGACAGAGGATGAGCTCAAGAATGAAGTGTGACAAGATAAACTCTCTCTGCATGCAGCAGAGTCCCCGATCCTCGAACTCCATACCATATACAATCTCCAAATCATAGCCTGTCTGATCCGGAAGGGCCAATACCCCCATTTACCAGAATCCCCAAGAAGTTTTGATTCACCCAAGGTTACCCTGGCTCAACGGTGGATCAGTTTTCTTAATCCTAGTCCAGGACTCCTCACTCCAGTGGCCTCTCTCTCCTCATTCAGCAAGGGGCCAATAGGATGATCATGAACCTCTTCAGAACCTCCTCCAAGTAGCTTGGTGATGCCCAGCCCTGACTGTATATCCGTATCTTTCAGGGAGTTGTTGAAACTTCCTGTTCCTGACTCCCTTGCCGCCCCCCCACCCCAGTATGGATTGGTCTTTTTAATAAGGCTGCCTTTTAAAAGCCTGGGAAGGAGTTTTGAGAACTATGGATCTTGCCATTTACTTGGGTTTCAGTATTTCTGAAGTCTCAGATGACGAGCAGGGTTCATGAAAAGGAAAACTCTTCCAGGGTAAAAATGCAAAACCACACCCATCTCAAGAACCCAAGGAGATCCATTCCTCTCTTTAAATGCCCAGAGGCTCCCTGAGTCACCTACTAACACCTTCCTTGTAGGCACTGGGCTTGGTTGGCACTGGGTGTGTTTTATCAGATTTAAGCCTCACAATAGCCCGGAGGGAATCGGTTTTATGATCCCTATTTTAAAGATGAAGAAACTGAGGCTCTCCAAGAGGCTAGGAAACTTGTTTGAGGCCACACAGCCAGTGAGATAAACACAGCTCAAGTTCAAGCCTGTTTTGGGTGCTACACCTCGCTACCCAGCATATCCCTCCGAGTGTGGTCCTGACCAGAGGCCCGTCACCAGTCCGCCTGGGGAGATGTAGACTTCCCTTGGGAAACACAATCAATGCCAAAGGTCACCTGCAGGAAATCCTCCAACTTGGTAAGAACATGCAGAAAACAAGTTCTGAGAAACTGGGCTCTTGATTTGCTGAAAGCATTAGAGAGACTAAGACTCATTGGTCAATGCCTCAGTGACTGGACACACACAGGTGTGTCTTTCTGGGGGCTGCTGAAGTGGGAGCAGAGGGTAATGGGAAGGTGTCTTGAATAGACACATGCTCAGAGTTTGAGGGAAGCGTATTTCCAAAAATCCGCCCTGGGGGGCTTCCAAGGATGCCTGTGCTCACTGCAGTGGTTGCATCCAACCATTCTCCACTTCTTATGCTCTTTTGCGGAAAGTTTGGGGGAGTTACCCTTCTAAGAATAAAGACCATTTAAGCTTCTCAGACATGGCTTCCCCAGGAAAGCTCCACCCCCACCCCCCAACTGGCAGGCTATGAGGTTAATTACCAGCAAACATGGTATCAGGCCTCCTTTAATTAAAGAAGAAAAATATCCTATTAGGTATAGGAAATGCAGGGTCATCTTATGAACCTGACCTGCCACATGATCAGGAACTCCCATACCCCCACCCCAATCCATGGTGTTCCTTAGCTTTCTCTCACTGTTTAGTGTATTTGTGCTAAAAGCCCCATGGTCCTGGATATGGTCCTGAAAATGCCTTATGGGTGTCACACAGCAGTTTCTTGGAAGAAAGCAATGGCCTCCCATCCCTCACACTGTGAGAAACCAGCCTGAGTCTATTGCAAACACTAATAGAAGTATCTAGTTGGAAATACTCAAATTATTTAGAATCCAGGATTGAAAAAACTTCCAAAAAGGACACAGGGAAAGAGAAAACACAAACGAAAAATGACTGTGAGGGATGGCAATAGCCCCCACTTATGAGAACCTGTTACATCCACAATGCTTTCTATACATGTGGCTTTCAGCACCTGCAGGAGTGGGGCACCCCCATTTTATGCCTTGAGAAACAGGCCAAGAAATCTGAGAGTCTTGCCCAGGGGCACACAGCCAATAAGTGGCTAAGTTGAGCAGAAATTCAGGACTACCTCCACAGCCCATGACTTTGCTGCTGCATCCACAGGATTTATAAGAGCAGTTCTCTAGAATATCTTCAGTGTAATGTTAAAAGACAAGATTGGTGATGGTGGAGCAAAGGCAGGTTGGGAGACAAAGAAAAATTTGTTGCTTATTGCTTATTGAGTAACTCTCTCTGGACCTTCATCTTCTCAATAGCACCTGGAAACTTGTTTAAAATGCAAACTCAGTCCTCGCTCAAACTAACTGAATCAGAATCTGCATTTTAATACATCCCCAGGTGATTAGCAAGCACATTACCATTTGAGAAACTCTGTCTTAGAGCTGGTTCTCCTACTTGGCTGCCCATTGGGATCAGTTCAAAACTATTTATTAATGTCTATGTTCCTGCGTGCCATTCCCTACCCCCCACCCCCTCCCCTTGCAATTCTGAGATGTGTAGTGCAGCTGGGACTTTGGGATTTTTACAAGTTCCCCAGGTGAGTCTAAAGTGAGCCAAAGTTTAAGAGCAGGGGTCTCAAATGACAAGAGTAGGGGGTCAGCAAACTGGAACCCAGACCATCTTACAAGCTCAGAATGGTTTTTATATTTTAACCATTTTTAAAAAAAAAAATCAAAACAGGAATATTTTGTGATACGTGAAAATTGAAGTTCAAACTTTAGTCTCCATAAATAAAATTTTAATGGAAGTCAGCCACGTTCATTTATTTACTGATGGCCCATGACTGCTTTTGCTCTACAGAGTTGAATAGTTGTGACCCAGGCAGTATGGCTTGAAAAGGTTAAAATATTTACCATCTAATTCATTACAGAAAAAGTTTTCCAATCCCTATACTAGAGTTCTTATGAACAATTAGGGATAACCACAATTGCTTCATTTGATTTATTTTTGGGTTATGTTTCATACATATGTGTGTGTGCATATGTTTATCTGTGTGTATCTACATCTGTAGATATCCATCTATTTCTCTTCAAAGACCCTTATACAGATCTCTGCCTCTCTGTGTGCCTTTGGTACTTAATTTTTCCTAAGTTCCTGTCAGTTCCCATCAAACTATCTTCAACAAATAGCTTGCCAAGAGCACTTCTTCCTAAACTTGCTGGGTTAGGTTATGAGCTTGCAGGCAGCTTCCTTCCTGCTCAGAACCAACTGGAGGCAGCAGAGTCCTTGAATCCTCTAAGGATCCTTCAGGGGGATTAGGCTTAGCCAACAGAGTTGCCTACAGTGATAGGACTCCAGTATCTCCTAGGCCCCTTTGTACAGGGGCTCAGCGCCCTACCAGCCCAACAGTCAGGTGCTTTGTATGCAGACCAGGGCTGGTCCACTATCAGGGGGTGGCTACCAGCAGAATGCTTTGAAGATCGGCCTCTTAATCTCATTAATATCCTGATTGTCTTTCCCAATCTAGTGGCAGCCGATGGGGTGGTACCCGCAAGATAAAATGACCTTCAAATTCAATAGACAAAATGACAGTCAGATAAAGGAGAGCATTAGCCCCATCTCCAACGTTGAACTCCAAGCCAGTGCAGCAGTGTTTCCTATATGAGCGGCTGTTTCAAGGCAGGACTGTTTCTCTCCTGAACTGAAATAATCTGCTACTTAGGGACAATTGGGCTTATTTACTGTGAGGACCTTTGCTTCGAAGATGAATATTTTTACAACTGCCCTCATAAACCCCCTCCCCTTGTCTGCCGGGGGTGGGGTGGGGGTTGGAGCCCCAGAGGTGAACTGAGGTGCCTGCACTGTCTCAGAAGTCCCATTAAGCTGTTAAGGCATTTAGTGCCCCAGACAGTACAGATGCAAGGGCAGTTCAAATCCCCACCCAGATGGGGATGGGGTCATGAAAGAGGGGGCTTTGATTTCTTCCCTGGGCAGGCAGAGAATCCACCTTGGTCAGGAACAATAGTTGGGGGGAGAGTAAACCAGTTGGACCCCCACCCTTGCCCCATTGCCTTGGCAGGGGTCTCCCAAAGCTCCTTGGTCACTCAGAAGGGAACAGTAAGAACAGGACAAGAAGAAGCAATGGGGAGGGTGTGTGTTTGTGTGTGTGTGTGTGTTTTAATGCCTGAAGTGGTAGCATCTGCATAAAGCAGAGAGACAGAGACCGAGTGTAAGACTGCAGAAGCTGCCCCTGCCACTCACTAATTACATGCACTTGGGCAAATTCTTACAATCAAAACGTCTCACTTTTCTTGACTGTAAAATGGGTGTAACAGCACAGGTGGTGTCTCCCCTACAAAGCTGTTGTGTCCAAGATGATGCCTCTAGGTGCTCAGCCCAGAGCCCACTTCCTAGGAAGTGCTCCAGCGACACCAGCTCTCAGGATCATTTGCCCATAGTCACAGCCCTGCCACCGAACAGTTTCCATGGGTCCTACAGACTTGGGCAGCCAGAAAACAAGAGCAGCCTCACAGACACCCTGGCCCAGAGTTTGGTTTGTCTAAGTAAGATCCAAGGTTGGATTCCTGCAGAGGACTCAGTGGGCGATATGGAAGAGGGTGATGGGGAGGTGGGAGGCAGGATTCTCTGTTTTCAAACTCTGATGGGACCTCAGGGCAATCAAGTCCAGTGGGCTGGGAGAGTGGGGGGATGGGCTTCAAAGGCAGGGAGGAGTCAGCAGCCACGGAAATAAATGTTTCTTCTTAGATAAAGAGGCTGCAGTTCAGGACATCCAGAGGTTGTCCTGGGAGGGCCTCTTCTTTCCTCTGTGCCTCACTTTCTTTCCAGGAGCACGAGCCCCCACTTCCTTCTCAGAATGTAATACAAGCGTGAGGACAAGAGTGTGGGGTGACTGAAGTCGCTGAAGATCGCCTGCCCCTCCCTCGCTGTCCTCACAAGGTGCCAGGTGAGTTGGCTGCAGACTGGAGCTAAGGGTACAGTGAGCAAGGCCACCACACATCACAGGTTGCAGGGCCTGGGCCGAGGCTAGCCTGGCTTCCATCCCATGCCA